TGTTCCCAAATTACTTGGAAAAGTGAGCTTACACTTTAATACACATTGTGCGTGTTAGAGAGTGCTGATGCCCGGCTACCACAATATGGCACACAGTAGAATGGGGGCAGCACTCACTCAGCACGCACATATACAATGCCCTACGGGGGTGCGGCCTGCATCGGGTGACACCATCAGAGGGGCTGTCATAGACTGAGAGCCCGACAGCTGCATGAGAAAAGAGGGGACCCAGCAGCATACCTTATGGTCCCCTCCGGTCTTTGCCAACCTCCATTACCAAGATGGCCGCCAGCAGTGAAGTGAGCGTGATGTCATTAGGTGTATACTCGACTAAATGACGTGCACACCAGGTGACACCGCTGGCCTTACGCATGCGTTCATTCCTCTGCAGGTGGCTGGGATGGTTTTAATCTCTATTTTATTACTCTTTTTTTTTCCACTTAACTTTATTGCTATCACATAGGGGGCTAACAAGCCCCTATGTGATGGCATTTGGAGTTGGCAGGTTCTCTTTATAGAGACATCTGGGATCTAGATGTCTACATAAAGAGCCTAGATGTCTCCATAAAGAAAACCTGTCACCTCAAAACGCTATCACAGGGGGGCTTGCTGGCCCCCGTGGGATAGCAATGAACTGCATGTCCCAGGCGCCGCGCAATACAAATTGGGCATCCCCAGTGACTGACTGAAAAGAAGAGGACAGACCGGCAGCTCACCAACATTCCAGAAGAACACACATGACACTTGTATGTATGAGGACAATATTGGTTTATCCCGGAGCACATCAGCAACCATCTCTCGCCATGCTGGGGCAGAACACATGCCATTCTTCTGGGGCTGATCAGTCATTTTGGGGAAAGCCATGACCTCTCATCATATTATCTCAGTGATAGAACACACACAATAGGAGCGGCCCGCGCCTTACCTTCACATTATTGGACTTGACAACGCTGGTTACTCGCTTCACAGACAGCTCCAGGGGCCCTTGGCCATTGTCCTCTTCAAACATCAATCGCAGGGAGCCCTGAGCAGAGGATACAATACAGTCAGAAGGATTAACAAACACAGAATTGGCCTCCGCATAGATGACATGGCAGCAATCGCATCATTCACAGATCCCTGCTCACGTGGAAGCCAGAAGCCTTCTATACCCGGGGATGTATGTCCGGCTGGAGGAGGGGAGTAAACACCATTAAAGTAGATATAAACCTCACTGAATGCCGAGTGATACTTAGTGTAGAAATCACCTTTTTATGCATTTCGGCACTGCTGATCTCCTGTGGCCTCTTTACCAGCCACTTCCTGCCTAACATGTACTCCAGTGATGGCCGTATGGCATTTCTCATGGTGGGCTTCCCCATCTGCGCCATGTCTGATATAACACTCCATGATATTAAAGTCAATGCTGTTTATTGACTGAGATAACACACATCTCCTTAGCGACGTTTCGAGACCTCAGGCGCCCGAGGACGGGACCGCACGGTCTCGAAACGTCGCTAAGGAGATGTGTGTTATCTCAGTCAATAAACAGCATTGACTTCAATATCATGGAGTGCGAGTGACTACTTTAATCTATCTACGTTTCACGGAGGTATCCGTTGTCACCACCGCATCCAGCCGGTTGGATTCGGGTTTTTGTCCGGTCAGGAGTGCGATGGGACAGGAGGATTAAATGTCTGATATAACAGTCACATGCAGCCAACATTTAAAGTACTTCAGGTGGTAAAACAATTAACCCTTGCAGTGGAGCGATCCCAAAAAACAGCTCAATTTGGTCTAGGAATGGAAAAAAAGAATACTAACCTGATCCTCCGTCCCACCTGGCTGCTAGACCGGTCCCCAGGCGGTGTAAGGACCCGTGACGTCATCACATCTAATACGGTGTATTAGACATAAGGACGCTAAGGGTCATACTGCAGCCGGAGCGGGGGGAGAGAGAGGTGAGCGGTCACTGTCGCAGAATCGAGGATTTCGTTTTTATTTTCGCCCGTAGAGAAATACGAGCAGTTAACCCATGCAGTGCAGGGGGGGGGCACTGTAAGGGTTAACATATGTAAAATCTGGGAGGTCTTCTTTAAGACTGTGACACGGTGGCAACGCAGAAACGCCATCAGGAGACAAGGACAGAGCGTGGGCACCCTACAACAAGAAGTGCCCAAAAAAGGACCTTCATGGCGGGATCACCAGAGATTATTATAAGGAACGATGTAGATGTTAAATATATGTTAAAACTTAAGAGATTTTAGTGATTGGGTTGAGGTCTGAAGGCAAAGTCCAGCCTATATTATTACTACTACTACTAAAAAAAATAATAATAATAAAAAACAAATTAAATGAAAAAGATGTGCATTTATTATGTTTTTGCATTCGATTCTGCAAAGCATTGCAACTGTGATCAGTGGATGGCGGGTGCAATGCTCTGACTCCTGCAGACTCTTCCTCCCGTCCCTATCTGTACCAAGTTACAGACGGGTGGGGCGAATGAATAGGCCGCAGTGATGTCACCGCACTTGCACTCCGTCAAGGATTACAAGTACCGTCGCCGCAGTGGCTGAGGGTATTTGTAGTCTGTATATGGATAATGTGCTGGAGTCACAGTACACAGTGGCACCGAATTGTGACTGAAGCCTGCAGAGAGAAGATCCCGGATTTCAGGTAGGTGCAGCCTCTGAAGAAGTCATCCTAGCCAGTGACTGACCCAGAACAAGCATGCAGCCAGTGAAAACGCAGGACCACCAACCTGCATACTTGTTGCAAGCCAGTGACTAAGCGAAGTAGCAAAGCGAGGATGAAGATGACAGCCAACAAGATACGATTGAGGGGCAACGTACAAATAATTGCCCCCCCGTGTACTTTCGTTGTACTCGCTTCAGACGTGCGGCCGACATAGAAGACTCCAATCATCATTCCCGCTCCGTATTCATTAACATGTCACTCATTTATTTCTAGACTGCAAGCAATGTCAGGACCGGAATCTGACCTGGTATCTGCCTCTTGTTGTCCCCGTACAGACTGGGTGAGGAAGAAGCAGCCGCCAATCCGTTGTGATGTAGTGTTCATGTGCTAACAAGGATCATGCTGATAGCAGGAGAAAGCAGGGTGACAGAGAGAAGAGCTCATCAGTCTGCTGCTTCTCCTTTCACTGTCCAGTCACCGCCGGCTTGGAGGAAGTTACTGAGCTGCAGCAGAGAGAAACTGAGCATCCAGCCCTATGGAACTGTGCTGTGCGGCAGAGCCGTGTAACCTTCAGGGCTGGATGGACAGAAATAGAAATCCTTATGTATTTCATCTCTGTGTTCATTTACATTAAAGCTGAACCCCCCCCCACTCCTCCTCCTCTTGCAACCAGTCCGCCTTTCCTGCAGGCTCCTCCTTTTCTTGCAATCGGTCCCACATGCCTGCAGGCTCCTCCTCTCCTTGCAACCAATCCCCCGAAGCCGGTTGTAAGCACTCCGACTCATCATGCACAATGCAAGGCCATCAGTCCAGCATTGCAACCAAGGACTGCAAGAGCCCGCCTACTAACCGGAATGTCGGAGGTAAAGGAAAGCAACGTGAGCGAGGAATAGGTGGGGGTACCCTGGCCATAAAAAAAGGCATTTAACCCTTGCTCTGCAGGGGTCTGAACCCCTCTGCAAGGGTAGGTTTGTAAGGGTTAAAGCTGAACTCTACGGAGTTCAGCTTTAACCTGCCACTGTGTTCTTGGAAGGCAGCAACCTTTGTACAGATACCTGGCTAGAAGAGAGCCCAGAACCCCAGTGCTGCAAGGCAGAAGTGCTGGATGATATTCATGCAGACAGGGGCATGGTACAGAGCAGCGCAGCTGTCGCCAACCCAACAGCTGCAGTGATGGAACGCCCCCCCTGCGCTCAATCTACAACAATACATCAGTCACTCTATACCAAGTCTACCCTTAGGGGGGGGGAGCGCGTATAGATTCCCCCCTCACTCTATAATGCCGCCATTCTCCTCTTAAATGCACAGCTAAAAAAGGCGGCCAATCATTCTGCCTTTCTCTGCTCTTCGCTTCCTTCCTCCGGGCCATCTTTTCTAAAAAAAAAGAAAAAAGAAATCAGGCGGCGGCGATGGCGGCGCGTTCCATAAATCAGGCCGGATCTAGGCGTCCTCTAAATGTAATCTGACACACCATCTCTGCTGTTAAGTAAAAGCCCTTAAAAGCAGCAAGAGGCAATTCGCTCAATGATTTGTCATCGTTATAAGCTTCTGCGCCGCACTGGTGGATGGGGGGGGACGCGGACACCGCGCAAGACGTGCCACCGCCGCTGCTGCGTGCCCCATTTAGGACCCCTTGCCGGACGCTGAACGGTCATCGCCCCCAAGGGGGGGACGTTTATTAGGTATCGCACGGCGGCGGGAATCCTTGGCTGACCTTTCTTGGGGGCAAAGCCGCTCATAGACGCAAAGAGACTGTCGCATTATATGAATGATTTCATCAATCACAGGTCACCGGGGGCCATTACCCGAAGCACGGAGGAAGCTGCAATGGTATAGGAAGGGCTCGTCTACTCAAAGGGGGCGGGGGGGATTGCATCGCTTAAAGGAGAACTACGGGGTGAGTGTTTTTCACTCGACCTCATAGTTCAAGCCGACCTGTGACAAAGAGACTGTGACACGTCCGCTCAATAGATCGGGGAGTGAGTGAACACATACCGGCGCTCGCTCACTTCTCAATCCTGTCCCTGCAGAGAGCCGTGTCTGTCAGTCACCTCTCCCCGCAGGGATTCCTCCCTCCCCGCCACTCCAGCGCTGACTGGCGGAACGGGAGCGGGAGGGCACGCAGCTGGGTGGATCTCCACAGTAATGTCGGGATCCGTCCTGCCTAAGGCGGTCTCAGTATACCGCGAGCTACTGAGCTTTGGGTGACGGGAGGACGCTAATATATGTCCTCCTGTGACCTCTAGGAGAACTATGGGGAAAAACACTTACCCCATAGTTCTCCTTTAAAGCAGACCTGTCATAATAAATATGCTGCTGCGCTACGCTGCTGTCAGTACTGACCTGGTTTCTGACGGATAGATCTGAGCCATCATCCACATTCTTACTACCTGGGAAGTCACAGATTTGGAAGAAGCATGCGGCCAGTGAAGCCTGCAAAGTATGACTTCTGTCCTGCGTGCTTCTTTCAGGTCCGTCAGCAAATCACTAGGCTGTCAGATTCTGAGCTATGGCAGCTTCCATCCTCGAAGGTTTCCATTGAAGACCATCTTTCCGGGCATAATTGGCAGCCCACCCACAGATGAAGAAACTACCCCAGCGTTTCTTCAACTTACCATCAGTACTATTCCTCTCACGTGACCCTCCGTGGCGCCTCATTTGGGGAGTAAAGATCTATGAGGTGAAGCCCAGGGCCAACCACCAACCCGCGTCATGGTGTCGCCTGACCTACCTCCGCTGGGGTATTCGAGACATGGACACAAGAAGTGTCCTTGTCAGTCCGTAACTAAAGATGGGCCCTCCGAAGCGTCAGTATTAGGCCTCATTCACACACAACGCAAGAGCAAAATTGTATATTGCGTATATACGCGTATGTGCATATATGCGCGCACTATATGCAATCCCAAAATGCATCATTCGTAATAAAAATTTTAATGAACTGTACACGTGTAGACGCGCGAAAACACACGTATATGCGCGTAAAATACGCAGAAATACGCTGCCCAGATGCATCTGTTCCATTCGGTTTTTGCGCATTTTTACGCTACGCAAATATACGGCTCCATTCGCAGCTATGTGTATGGAGCCATTTATTTTCATATGCTGTATATGGTACAATACGCTCATATATGCCGGGCAGTGTGAATGAGGCCTTAAGCTCTAAAATTTTGGCCCTTTCCTGCTGAACCGGACATACTCCAGCCCTGTCCGACGCCACGCGGCCTGATCGGTTCGAAGGAGTCAGGCGGTGGAAAATTGTCTGCCGCACAGCAGCCAAATCAGGGGCAGCCGGCAGAGTACCGGCACGGTGACTGCAAGAGCCGAGAAGGGAAATTACCCCATCTCCCCGGCGAGGCCGAACAACGTAAATCGTAACGTGTACGGTCATCTTTAAAGACTCAAGATGCGATGTGTCACGTGACCATGCATTATTATTTTTTTTAACTGGTAGGGCAATAGGGAGGTGTGCAACTTTAAAAGACAAATTCGCCTTTAGTGAATCCTTCCTTGTAGTCGCTTTAAGGTTTGAAAGCCCTGATATTAATTGTAAAACATTGGCAGCGAGATGAATCTCCGAGACCCAACAATGGCCTCGTCTCATGGGCATGCAGAGTAACGTTCTGAAAATAAACGACCCACTTCCATTCCCCCCTGGCTGCTAAAATAGGCCGCTGGCCCAGCTTTGAAATCCTCCTTCAAGACGTTTCACTAGTCGAGACATTGTAAAAGCGTCTTTGTGTCGAGTGAAAAGCCGGCCAGCATACCCAATGACTCGCATTCGTCATTCCTCAAAGCCGTGTGTGTTTATGTGAAACCTTGTAAACTGCTGTCAGGCATGAAAATCAGAGCCCCGGGGTGCCAGGAGGAAAGAACCCGTACCGGCCCTTCTCAATCTCTGTACCCTGGAGGAACCCGTGACAGATATTATCAGGTCCCGCTAAAAAGAATTCTCAATTCCCAGTAGAGGAGTGTGACCGCTATATTGTAGAATATTTAAATGTTGGAATAAATACCGAGCGTATCCGACACCCCGGGTGGACCATTTCTTTACCCTCTTGCTCTGGACAACAACATTTTTTAGTAATAATCTCAAAACTAAATAAATAATAATAGAAAAGAAATACAGGCAGTAAAAATCTTGGTGTCCCCTAACAGAAGTGTTCATTGTAGACGTGCCCCCTTCCATTGAGGAATGGTAAATTGTTCTCCGACCTACACTGACCACCAGTGGTGAATTGTTCTCCTACCTACCCTGACCGCCAGTAGATTGTTCTCCTACCTACACTGACCACCTGAGGTGAATTGTTCTCCTACCTACACTGACCACCAGTGGTGAATTGTTCTCCTACCTACACACTGACCACCTGAGGTGAATCGTTCTCCTGCCTACACTGACCACCTAAGGTGAATTGTTCTCCTGCCTACACTGACCACCCGTGGTGAATTGTTCTCCTGCCTACACTGACCACCAGTGGTGAATTGTTCTCCTACCTACACACCCTACACACTGACCACCTAAGGTGAATTGTTCTCCTGCCTACACTGACCACCCGTGGTGAATTGTTCTCCTGCCTACACTGACCACCCGGGGTGAATTGTTCTCCTGCCTACACTGACCACCCGGGGTTGAACTGTTCTCCTGCCTACAGTGACCGAGCGTGGTGAATTGTTCTCCTGTCTATGCTGACCACCAGTGGGGAATTGTTTTCCTACCTACGCTGACCACCAATGCAGGTAGGAGATCAATTCACCACAGCTCAATGCTCAAGGCATCCCTGGCAACCTGAGGAGGAACACTAGGATTCCACTAAACCCTGGTTGAGAAAGGCAGTCCTATACCTTGCAGAGTCCCAGGAGCCCTGGGCAATCTACTATGGGGGTCTCCAGGAACTGCTAGGAGTCAAGAGCTCTGGCCTGTCCTCTCCTGCTTTCCATGCCTCATTACCGGTCCATAGTTTTGGTAGGTAGGAATTGATGACCAACAGCAGAGTGTTGGAGGTGGCCATTAAGTCTCAGGACTGCAAGATAAAGCAATCAGAACTCCCAGCACCACACAACTGCCACTGTCACTACAGAGCCAACTGAGGGGGTGTCATGTTCCTCTCACGGTTCCTCCATATTATAGGACAAACAAATAGGGTGTCGAGCGGTGAACGATGGACATCTTTTTTTGTGGTCTTGTGGGAGAGTTGAATAAACAATTATAGCAAAGAAATGTTACAATGTAGAGAAATACAGCATAGGGAGCTGGAGATTGAGTCAACTACCGGCTCCCTATACTGCCCCTTAAATATCAGTTTTTGGTGGAATTGCCCTTTAGCTGACACTTCAGTTTCACCTTGGATCATGTACATTTAGGCCTCATTCACACACTGTGGCCGGGTGGACACTTGGCTGATCCCCAACGTCACTGATGCTGAGGGGGCCGGGCATTGTAAAGCCCACCATGTAACAATCTGACTGTATAGTGACTATTAGATCTGCCAACAACTATGTAGTGTAAGGGCCTCCATGACTGGATACAGACGGATCGGACCTCATTGGTAGGTTTGCAAATGCTTTTGGTACATCTGAAGGAGATCGCACAGAGATTATAAAGTGTATGGTCACCTCAATTTAAATCTGCTCTTTCCAGACCGAAGGTCTGGATGTAAATGACTACCCATGGGATGGCTACTACCGTGTTTCCCCGAAAGTAAGACCTAGCGCTATCTTCAGGGATTTCTGTAATATAAGACCTACCCCAGAGCGGATTTTGCCGTGATTCAAATGCTTTCAATAAAAGCATTTGCGCGATATCGCGCAAAATACAAAATCGCGTGATTTGCATATCGCGGAGTGTGAATGGGGCCTAACACTGCAACATCCCCCGAAAATAAGACCCAGTCTTTTTTCGTGGGAAAAAAAATATAAGACACTGTCTTATTTTCGGGGGAAACACAGTAGTGCTGCCTCTGCCAGTGCGAGTGCTGCTGTGCTAGGGAGGACAGGAAGTGGATACCAAGTCAGGTTCAGGTGTTTACATTTGCTTCATTTCAAAAACACAAAATTATGCATCAGCCCAAATCGGCTAAATATAATGTGCGGCGAAACTAAAAGGCCCTCAATATCTTACACTTTCTTTCAAAAGCAGCCACAGCCTGCATAAAAAAGTCTGCCTCCTGTCAGCAGATGCAGAGTAGGATTTGTGCTCTCTATGGGGAAGCAGTGGCCTCTCTACAGAAGTCCAACATGTCCAATGCAGAGTTAGACCTATAGCCCTGCAGTCAGTAAATCTGATGCTCCCTGCTGATTGGAGGTCTCGAACTTTGACTCAGCAGGGAGCATGTTGGACTGCTACAGAGAAACCACGGCTTTCATACAGACAGCAAGGAACCTACCCTGCAGTATGCTGGTAGGGGACAGGCTTCTCTACTCAGGCTGTGGCTGTTTTCTAAAGCTGTGATACTTTGCCCACCTTTAGTTTTTAAACACCTTAAATGCATTTAAACGAGTTCAATGAGACTTTAAATCCTGACAAGTGAACTGGCACAGTAACAACGGCACTTACCCCTCTCTTCCCGGCCTCCTCGTTCAGTGCAGTTATCCAAGCCTTCAGCCACTGGCTCTTCCAACTATTCAAAGACAAAATCCAGGACAACAGAGAATCCGCCTCGCTGTGTTCACCAGAATAACCCAACTTTGCTGTACGCCTCCACAATCCACCCCAAACGTTCTGGAAGAGATAAACGGCAAGCGTGACCAGGGCGGCGACGAACAGGGTCACCAGCCCGAGCCACTGAGGGTCTCCAAACCAAGACATGGCTTTGTGCAGTCAACACATCAAAAAAAAAAAAGAGGTCACCAAAGAATCTTCATGAAGAAGCAAATATGTTCCAGTAGATGTAGAGAATTCCTTTACGGGTTGTCTCAACAAGGCAAACGGTAATCAAATAGGGAGAACTGTAGAATTCCCATGTCTGATCATAAAGTAGACCCCATCAGGAGAAGACGACTGGAGCACTGGTACGGTGGGACTGCAAATCCTGGTGCCAGCGAGCAGAAGAAGAGGGTACAAGTGCTGTATTTAGTGGTCGGTTTCCTCTCATGCCTGGTTCTCAGTGCTGCCGAAGGAGGCCACAAGACTGCAACTGGCATAGGCTGAAAAGTCCCTGGCCTCAGACCTGCTGGAGGAACGTCTCCCTCGTCACGTCATAGCTGGAAGGTGAATCCCTGGAACAAGCCAGCTCATTCTTTCCTCCCCCCGGGATACCTTTTCCGTTTTGGAATCCGTGAACCTCCGGAAAATGTGCCTTCTTCCAGGAGCAAAACTCCGGCGGCCGCTTGGTTCCTCTGCGCGGCGCAGTTCGGAGGTTGTGAAGGCGCGGGGGTGACGTTCAGAGGAAGACACTAGAATGGACATCACACACACCAGTCATGAAATAGGAAATAAATAAAGCATTAGGCAAGTTTCAGTTTACAATACAAAAGTTGTTTTGGCTGATGAGTCATAGGATACTTTATCGTACACACCCAGAGAGCGAACCCAACAAAACACTGAAAAAGGGACACCAGCGTTAAAACAGTACATGATGGATACCTGAAGGGGACATTTCAGGAACTTGAATAGTCCGTGAATACATTTCTGACATGACCCCACCTTTTATCATTAAAAAGCCGTCACTGAGCGCCAGACAAATGACTTTGCCGAAGCCGAGATGATGCCACCATTCTGCTGCAGGCGTTTTCTCAGTCTCCACTCCCCCAGGGATCAGACTGGAACATTGTAACTTTGTAGCAAGCCTCAAGGTTGTATGCAAATATGCCCGCGTGCATGAGCCCATAGAATGCCATTAGTGGGAAGGCCCACACATGACATGGTTTGTGGTAAATCCGAGCAGATTATACAATGAGGATTGTTACATGTAACATGTATGTTACATGTAACATGTGGCCGGCCTTACACGTAGCTCAGCATGTAAGCTCTAAACACAGACTGCACTTACCTTATGTTAATGAGGATAGGTGAAGGTGTTCCGTCCTAAGGTGACAATGCTGATCATCTATAGATACAGTACAGTGAGTTGTCACCTTAGGACAGGAAGTGTGTTACTGGCCAGATCACCAGGTAAAAATAAAAATATAAAAAAACCTGAAACTCCCCTCCCCTCCCCCCCCCAAAAAAAAAACAACTAATGCAGCCTGTACATCCAAGGACAGATAAACGGCATTACATAATAATGTAATATATTGTTACATTTTAAGTAGGGACACACAGAGATTTCGGCCGCCAAAATATTTCAGCCGAAAACGGTACTATGGGGGCAAAATGGCGATGGTACCAAAATGGCCGATCATGCGGTGCATCCCTAGCTTCTCTCCTCCCAGCTGGGTGCTGGCCTGTGTCCCCTCCGATCCCTGCTGCTCTCTCCCATCTGTGTCAGCAGAGGCAGCGGGGATTGGAGGGGACAAAGACCGGCGCCCAACGGGGAGGTAAGAAACGGTCAGGATGCCAAGTGGGGAGGACGAGCTCTGCTCCCACACCGCCCCAGTTGACCTCCTGGCACAGGTGAGTCAGGATGGAGAGTGGAGTGCAAACTCCCAGTGATCAGTACTGATGGCCGAGTGTTTGTAAACAGCGGAGGACATAGTATGCTTACTGGGGGGGAATTTGTCAAAACAAGAGCAGAGAGAAGCTGGAGCAGTTGCCCATGGCAACCGATCAGCACCTCTCTTTAGTTTGCTCAGGTAAGATTTGAAAATGAGACAGAGAAGCTGATTGGTTGCCGTGCGATTAACAGGAAGTGCTCTACATCACTTCCTGTTAATTTAGGATTGTGGATATGGTATGAATTGACCGGAGCACTCAGTATAGATGCTTCCTGTTTCTTCATAACCGGGGCTGCAGAAAGAGAGATTTCGAACTCTGCGAGGGGAATTTATCAAAATCTGGAGCAGCTGTGGATGGCAACCAATCAGCATCCACTTTTCATTTTCAGAAAGTCCCTAAGGCCCCGTTCCCACTGCGCGATATGCAAATCGCGCGATTTGCATATTGCGCGACATCGCGATGTCGCGTTCAAGCTTGCATTGAGCAAGCTTGAATCGCGGCTAAAGGGTCCTGCTGTAGCGACACACGCCCCGCGACAGCAGGACCCTTTGCCCCATTGGATTGCATTGGAGCGCGGTAATTTGCCGCGATATCGCGGGAATTACCGCGCGATAAATCGCTCAATGTGAACGGGGTCTAAAAGTAAAAAATTAATAAATACAAATTTTAAAGCGGTTAGAAAAGAAAAAGAAGTCATTTTTGGTTTCTGTTTTGCCCTGACAATTCATTTTGGTCGAAAAATGTCATTTCGCTGCATCCCGAAGTTATTTAAAAACGTAACCATGGGTGCTAAAAAAAACTAAATAGATCAAATTGTGTGATTGGAACTGGACGGAGCGGGGAAAACAAAAAATTCCCTTCCCACAAATGCGCTCCCAACGTTCACAGCGTAATATTCCGCCGCTGTTCAATCATCTGAAAAGCTTTTGTTTATACAGCTGCGAGCTTCAGATGGCAAAATACATATTTGCAGCATGTTTGTTATGCGTCACGTTACCATGGCAATGGAGCCAAAACGGCAAAAGGCCGCCGTAACCCCATCACGGGCGGATTTCTAGACAAATCTATTTAAAACGAGAACGTTAACCCCTTCCTGACCAAAAGGCCAACTTCAGCAGAGTGGAGGATGGCGACTGCAATCGGCAGATGGGAAATCACTCTTGGGCTTCCAGCACAATAAGGTCTCGTTCACACCTAGGCGTATTGCATATGCGTTTTTCTACCGCGATTCGCGCATTTTTGTTTGTGTTTACTTAAAAAAAAAAAAAAGGTTTTGGATTGCCACACAAGTCTATGAGCGCACGAAACCCAATTGGAGCAGGTCATATGCAAGTCAGGAGGTCAACTGCAGGTCGAATGCACCTGTCCGTGAGTTCTGATTGGTCTCAGATGCCATCCACAAGTCCAAAGCCCGTCTACAAAAGGTCCTTAGCCCTCGTTCACACCTGAACGTTTTGTAGCGCGTTCTACGCTCGACGAACGCGCTACAAAAACGCTCAAAAATATAAATCCCATTGTATTCAATGGTCTGGTTCCCCTTTAA